AGGTCTTGTAAAATCAAGCCCCAAACGGCTAACATCTGGAGGCAGTAATTCCCTGAGGGAGATATTAGATGTACGGTCGGGTTTCAGATCGCTCTGTGGTCGCGCAGCGAACTGAAGATTATTGCTGTGTAAAGCTGCTCACAGTTTTTGTCAGGGTGCGTGGCGATGAACTCGAAAGTTTGAACCGGCACTTGACCGTAAATCCACATAACTGGGGTGCTGCTGGGAAAGAGCAGTTCCTGTTACGCTGTGCAGTTCTTAACTTATAAGCAAAAGAATACTGCACCCGAGGGTAGGCAGCAATTATAGATGATTTAAGTGTTCTGCATGTCGTACTCGCTCTTGCAGATGTGTTACATGTTTGTTGAAGCTTCGTGCGGAATTAATGGTTACCTGTTTCCCTGCGCACCGATTAGGATGTAGGAAGTGGGATGTATCTCGTATGTGCCAGTCATCTCTTGATACTGGGCTAATGTGATCTGACAGCTTTTTTAGTATAATATAGAATTTTAAATGGATGTAACTAGTTTTCACATACCCCATGTACTATGAATGCTTTCTGCTAAGTTCTGAATTACTGTTCTGCAAAGATTGCCTTCCAGAGTAAGGCTGGTTAGTGAGTAGTCATCGTGCAGGATCTAATTTAGGGTGGTTTTGTCTTGCTCCAGAAGATTTTCCAATACTTCCTGTTGTGGCTGCGCCTGTCTAAGTGCTTGGCAAAGTAACATTGTGCTTATGAAACTCGAGTCTTCCCAGTGTTGGCACCTAGATCGCTGTCTCAGAGCTGCCTAAGACTACACAGAAAGTTTAAGGGGGATGGGGGAGCTGTTGCAATTTCTGAAAGTATTTTCTGTTGGGCAGTGAGAGAAGAGTGTGATTTACCTGTGACAGCTCAAAAATGCTGAGTGACTAACATCTAAACCAGGCAAAGTCACTAGTTTTTTTTTTAGCTTTGTGAGAAAGCAGTTGGTTTATTGATGCTTGTATTCCCCCCTCCCACCCACCCTGTAATTCCTAAACCGCATGTGCTGAACTGTTTAGAAACTAACTGGCTAGAGAGGAGGCATTTAAACAGAATTGGCAGGATGAGGAAGGAGAAGAAGAAAACACCATTTGCAAAACTGGCTTCCATTATTGCATTAAGGATCTCTATGGAACACCTCCAGTTTAAAGAAAAAATGAAAAATCCAGTGGAGTATTATTTAAACTGGAGTGTGCACAGGGATTGAAAGTATGCCTTTTTTGCAGAGCTGGTACTTACTAAATTCAAGGCCAGGCTCAAGGTCATTGAAATGTTGCTAACCTTGAGAGTAGTGGGATTTGGGGTCGTTAGGGGTTTTTTATGTTTCTATTGCCTTTGACAAATATTCTGTGTCTAGTAATATGCAAATTGCAGCTTTTCATGAGAATGTGGCAATTTTTTAAATTCCTGGTAGAACATAGCTCTCATTTCACCACTTGTCCCCATTGCCTTTGATTTTGCTCTGCCTGGCAGCACAATAGAGCTTAAAATGTTTTTTAAAAAATAATCTTTCTTGGGCTATGTTTGTGTTGTATATTGTTAAAAATTACCGAAGTGCTTTTTAATTTTATACTTTACACAGTCTGGTGGGGTCTTTTGTTTTGTTTTGGGTGGGTTGTGTTGTTTCGGTTTGAGAGTGTTTTGGTTTTTTGTTGTTGGTTTTTTTGGGGTTTTTTTTGAGGAACCTAGAATATGCAAGTTTAAACCTATTTTAGAAAAGGTAGATCTAACATTTGATCTCTTCAGTGGGAATAGAAAAAACTCAGAGGTAAATGAGGTAAACTCAAAACCAGTGGTGGTGCCTGAATGTATGTAGTCTTTTTTTTTTTTTTA